AATTTCTTATCACCTAGCGCTATCTTCAATACATAAATCTTAAAGAAAAATTAAAAGGTAACGTGAGAGTAATTGAAAATTTGTATAAAGTTTTCGAATCAGCGTTTGATTGCATTTAACGGAAGATGTCTAGTTAACTTGGGTAGTACATTTTTAAATCAGTAGAACCACTATAACTTATGACGTTGATCCATTGGATACAATGATATGTGTATTAGTATTATAACATACAATAAAATAATTTTCTTATGTAGATAATGGTCAAATCTCCAACTTATATAGTAGCAACTATGGGCAACGAGAGTGATAAAATAAAAGTTCTAGAATACGAAATATCATATTCGTCCTTTGACATTGCAGTGTTTTTCCTTCTTGGATCGTTGAACCATTTGTTAGCATATTTCCCTTCTGATTTCTTCGCTCGAATGTTTTTAATGACACTCATGATGGCGTGTATTCAAATCTCTTGCTAGATTTTATAAACCAGACAACTAATGAAATTCTCTCCGTTTATTTAAATGAAGGTATAGTTAGAACGTGCGCATCGTTTAATATAATTTTTCTCTAAAAGAGGCAAGGTATGAACAGTCATTTCAAAATGCAGTCCCACGAAAAATTAAGCTGAACTGACTGTTGAGAATTTGCAATTCAAATCGAAATCTATTCTGTATCACAAACTATATACTAAACAACGATGGCAACTTTCAAATTTGGCAGTTCCTGGAGCCATTCTCATTTGTCCGAAAGTTGTTTAAATATAGAAGAATTATTAACAAAGATGAGTAATTCATTCTAGTCTTCAGAAAAATAAGAATAACGTGCAAACCATATGTTCGATAATGGATTTGACTTTTTGACTATATTCAATAATTTAATTTTTGATAGTTTGTTTGGCTGTTCTCAAATATACGGTTCTTTTCCTTTGCAAGACAGTGGCGTATCCACGGGGGAGGCAAATGGGCAATTGCCCGTTTCATTTGGAAATTTGCCCGTTGAAATTTTACTTGGAAGATGTATCCATACAGTTTTTTTCGTATAACGTTTAGAAAGATATACTTAGGTCTGACCAAAAGTTCTGTCACTTCACTATATCTATTCATGGAAACGACATTCCATTCATTTCTCTACACCATATCTTCGAGGTCGTTCTTGTGATATTCCATGGAAAGTTTCATCCTTTTAACTTACTCTTGAGATATTCTTTTGAAGTAAACCATACGTATTGAATTGACCTCTTTGGTTGTTGCTGGAATTTTGCTACTTTTTTGAACCTTCAAAAATCTGAAGAAGGGTTAAGTGGTAAACACATTTTATGTGATATCATTAGTGGCTATCAAACTTATATCTGCCATCGCAATATTAGATCAAAATCATTATCGAAACCTAGGTCAACAAGAGAAACTAGTCATACAAGCGGCGTTTATTGTTAACCATATCAAAAGCAATAACCTATGTCAACTTTTTTATGACTTTCGCGACATTATTTATCACATAGCGGTTTCTACAGGGACTACTAATACCATTTGTATTAGTAATAAATGTTTAAGGTCGTAAATAAAAAAATTATCGAACAAAATAGTATCGTCATGGTCAAGTCCTCTCAGTTTCCATCATGGTTTTTTGAGCAACATATAAAATAAGATCATTACTTACTTCAAAATGAAAAGAACAAAGTTAAAGCTCACCTAGCGTATTCATCTCGGACTGGGCTTTCAGAATCTTACTTGTCAAAATGTGTTCAAGATAAACTAGATAATCACCAGCTACAACAACTTAGCAGGTGTAAAAACTGAGGTGGCCAATTCAATACATATTGTTTACATCAAAAGGATATCTCACGAGCGAGTTAAAAAGATGAAACTTTTCATGGAATATAACAACAACGACCTCGAAGATATGGTGCAGAGAAATGAATGGAATGTCGTTTCGCTGAACAGATATAGCGAAGTGACAGAACTTTTGGTCAGACCTAACTATGTAAGAGTGTGAATAGACAGAATTGCTTGTTCATTTTTGAGTTAGATAGTAAATGTATTTCTTTCTTCCGTGGATTTCTTTCTGTGAAGAATAAAGAAAGGAAGAAGAAAAGAATCGTTCCTTGTATTTTAACTTACGCATTTTTTTTCCTTGCTCATTTATGCGTAATCCAGACGCACTAAAAATAGACTAAAACACACTTAACTTAGGCTAAAAATTTGAGTTTGATGTATATTTGATTAAAAGGACCTCATTCTACTTTTGTGTTCTTTATGGACCGACCTATGGACAACAAAAGCCTTGTCCATTTTGCCCATCGTTTTTGTCCGACACAATAGAAGTTTGCCCATTGGTCTAAAAATTTTGGTTACGCCGCTGTTGCAATGGGAGGAACGGATTCGTGAGAAGGAGGAAGTCCAAACTGTAAAGTATGAAAATCGGATTATTTATATACAAAGAAGCTTATCAGGAAGGTTTAGTGTAACCTGAAGATGTTAAGTTTGGAATAATTACAGGTGGCGCCGCTACAATGGCGCGACTTGTAATGACTATAAATTGCATGAAGGTACGCCGAACCATGTGCTAACCCTCTTTTTATAAGCGCAATCGGATTTTTATCCTTTAAAACTTTAATTTCTTCCTTCTCACTAGAGCTTCCAGCGATATGAAAGAATACTTAGTTATGTGTACTGTTCGCAATGAAGGCCAGAAGAAAAGTAAAGCAATGCATGTTTTTCCATGAATGAGAAAGCGTTCAACATGTGATTGTAGTTGAGTATATAAGTCTATCATTTGCGGTAGAAAGTGGAGATTTGATCGCAACACTTTTATCTTAAAAATTGTATGACTGACTCGTGAACTAGAAATTTTGATGAATACAAAATTCTGTTTTATTTTAAATAACTAAAAGTTCACAAAATGGAACTGAACTAAACGTGTACATTGTTTTCTTGTTTATGAATGGATATTGATTGTACCTCAATCTAAAAACCAAAAATACCTGGTTTAATAAATCTATATAAATCTCGTTTAATAAATCATAAAATCATACCTGGGCATATTGCTTTCAATGCACCATACAATGCTTCAGTTAAGTCACGAATATTATTTGTATAAAATACGTGTCCAGCATCAGATGACATTTGTTCTAATTCTCTCAGATTGGCATTTTCTACTCCTACTGAATATATTTCAATACCGGAATTTTTCAACTTTTGTGCTGCTGAAATAGTTTGTGTTGCCGAGTCTGATGCTCCATCAGTAAAAACAACAACCACATTTTGTGCAGATGGTCTATCGCCATTAGCAGTATTAAATATTTGTTGTCCCATTGTATTCAAACCAATACTTGTTGCTGTACCTGTTACCAGCCAAAAGTGAGGAAGATAAACAAAAAAAATCTCATATCAACATACCGCCATCGGTTCGTTTCAAAGTGCGTATTTCGTCAACTGTGACCGGCTCGTTCAAACTTTTAACTACTGCTGAGTCACTAGCAAATATGACGACGCCAATTTGAATTGAGACATCTTGATTTTGCATGACTTCAGTAAATTCTGCAGCGGCATTCGCAACAACATCCCATTCTTTAATACTTCCACTTGAATCAAGAAGAAGTCCGATATCAACTTGACGTCGACATTCTATTTGGCTTTAAGAAATATAAAAACATGATCGATTGAGAGGAAGAAACGTACTTGGACACGACCATGTGTTACACGCTTCAATTTCTACATCTTTTCCATTTGTACATTTGTTACATGTTATAGGTGAACCGAGATGTGAACAGGTTGTTGTTCGCTGTCGTGTACCACCATCGCACAATTTACTACATGCCGACCACTTACTTGTTGCTAACAAGTCACAGGCAACTAAAATTACTCTCGAACAAAAATAAAAGAGAAGCAACTAAAGAGAAAAATTCCCTGTGTCTGTTAGGGTTGAGAAAAGGGACATGTTCCTGTCGGATTACCTGACTAAATAAGCATGATGAAATATTCCTTCTTGTCTGCTCTTACTTACCACTCCTCTCGCATTGCTTTTTGGTATCATCCCAAACCAGAGCTGGTGTTCCAGGATACGTTGCAGCGCAATCTTTGCAATAGGCGATTCCATGCGAACAATGAATAAAACCATTTGTATTTCTTGGATTTGGAAAAGTTTCAAGTGGATTATTTTCCACGTCTGATCCCTGTGGTGGACATTCATAGTCGAAATCACATTGTCCAAGTGCTCTCTTGAGAGTATCTCCGAATTTGTAACTGTCGAGAAGAACGACAAAACACAGTAAAAAGAATAATATTTTCAACATTGTAGTGATTGAAGAGGTGATTGCATGTTGTAGTTTGAAACATCGTATATATTTATATCCCTTGGAGACAGATGCACGCACTCCCAATTATTCATTCAACACGCAGAGCAAAGAAAAATGCTTTCGAGGAAAAAAAGTATCTTGTTATCAGCTTTATTTAGTATCCTAAAATACCAGTGGAGTGGATATTTTTAAATAATCTTTGATAGAAAAGTGGTGGATACCTGCGATTTTCGCCATGATGTAGCCAAGACTTTAACCCTGTAAGATGATAAAAAATCCCTCAGACAATATTTAATCTCTGAGGTCTTTAATGAGATCTCCGAAAACATTTTTTAACATATTTTAATCATGTATCTCAGTAGAGAAACCATTATTTCTGCAAAAAGATTCGTTTCTCAACTAAGATGCAACTTTTGACACGTGCGGTGGAACGTGCAGTTGTGCAAGAGTGCAGTATACAAAGGTCTATTATTTAATAGTGAATGAAATTAGGTATATGATGTATCTCTCCCGACTATCTAAGGAATTATCCTGACATTACATGATCAAATATTACCATGTATTAAATTATTATCAGATGCATGCAAAAAACGTAAGAACAACATCAGGTCTTATTAATTGCTCTCCACGTCGTCATGAGTGCTTGTGTCTGAATCACGAGTTTTCTGAAACGTCTTAGTATGCAAAATGCCGTGAAAGTCGCTGAAATTCTTGTAGATTTTGTTGATCTGTTGAACAATAGACCTTTGTGCACCGCACTCTTGCACAATTGCACGTTTCAACGCACATGTCAAAATTGTACCTCAGTTGAGAAACGAATATTTTCGCAGAAATAATGGTTTCAACTGAGATACTTGGTTAAAAACTGGATTGTATCGCAGTTACAGTCCAAACCTTGAATAATAGTAATACATTTTAAAAAAGTGAATGCTACGGTTAAAAATGTATCGTTTATTAAACAGTTGCATCCGTTCCCAGTCGCTGTAAGCAAACATGAAGAATCAATAGGGTTAGAAAATAGACTAAAGGTATACGTGGAGCAATTTATTCATCATCGTTAATTACGGTATATGTTGTTACGTAAAAGAGAGTATGCTCAATCACAAATCTCCGAAGATTCGGCCGAGTGAAATGATTATTTTTCTTTTTGATGCATAATAATTCACATCACTGATACTGTAAATATCAGTAAGTATTTAAAGCCTACAACATATATTCACGTTCATAACCAAATCTCGCGCCTTCATTCGTACAGTTAGAACAGATTTGTTCTTGTTGCTCATCAATAAAAAATTCCTATTTATCAATTCTAATTATAGGTTCAAATTCCGTTGCATAGATCTTCACTTGTAATATCTCCAAGGGGGAAACTGCGGACTTTATAGACTTTAAAGTCCGCTCAGATCTTTTAAAGTCCACCAAGTCCGCCAAAGTCCGCTAAAGTTCACTCAAGTCCATTGAAGTCTGCTGAAGCCCCGTTAAGTTCTCTCAAGTCCGATCAAGTCCAGAAACATCCCATGTGATACAACGGCTTATTTCTTTGAGTATTATTGTTATTTATTTAAAAAAAGTCACTCCAGAAGCAAGAAACGATTTTCTGTTTTCCACCTTGACTTACCTGAAATACAATGGAGAAAATATTCGATACAGGGAAGTGTTGAATATAAGAAGTGCGTGATCTATTCTTTTCTGCAGCGTGCATACACATATCGAACATGCTTTCTACAGGTAACACG